AGACTCTAGGGAGATTCCTTCAACGGTGAAATGTGGAGCTTGTGAAGGGAGTATTGAAGCTTCCCAACGACGTCACAGGGCCGGGCGCTGCTCTGCAAACCCGCGGCCAAGGTATACAAGCGTCTGTCGCAAAGAGGCCCGTTTCTAACGAGTTGTGGTAGACCGGCCTCCTTTCAACTGAAGCCAATCAATGTTTGTATTTGATTAGCCAAGGGCCAGGAAAAACGGACTCGAATTCGGCAAAGCGGCAACGAACGGCCAGGATACCAGCCGCTAAGTTCGTCATAACCGTTGCTCTCCAGCAAAAGCTTTGAGAGTGCTTGTTCAATTCCATTGACAAGCCGCATGACTGGTAATTTCAGCAGCATGTATAGATGAGCATGCAAACGTCCTGTTTGATCTTGTGTCCTATGGGCGCTGACCTCTTCTAGATCAGGCACTCCGAGATTTCAGGTAGTGTAAATGTCAGAGCACTCAAAAACTATGTCCATGCGAACAGGCCGCGAGAATTTGCATCAGCTAGGCTGCACACGTACTCTGAGTTTGTCGGATTGTAAGACGCGCACTTTCATTGGTAAATTACCGCGATCGACTGCGCGCGTGCTGGGTCCCCGTGCGGGGCCCCCCCGTGAGTCACCTTGCTTCTTTTTTGTGCGCGCGCGCATCTTGGGATTGCCTTTCAAACACGCTCTGCAGGAAGCTGATTGGTCGGAAGCCGAGACAGAGCCGGCCGCGGCTTATTGAGGCCAGAAAGCAGGAAGTAGCTAGGCAGAAGTAACAAACATTCGGGTGACCGTGGATCTACACTAATCAAAGAGGTGTGCGCAGGCGCGAAGCTAAACATGACTGAATGACTGACGCGAGGCTAGGCATCTGTCGTGAAGAAGGCTTGGCTTCGTAATCAGGCCAGGTGTTCTCCGTCATTGCCCAGATTGAAATAGCCACTTCAGAAGCGAAGCGGAGCATACATCCAAAACCATATCACGGCCGCTCCAGTCCGTTCTTGGCATACGTGCTGAGCTGATCAAAGAAACCGTAACAAAGATCTCGGGATCAATTGAACGCTTAGAAGCGGCTAAATCTCAAAGCAAAATGCCGGCCGCCGTGCAATCCAGCGAGTCAAATCCAGATTTAACTACACCTAAGTGACTCGGTTGAGGGGACTGAAATTTTCGACTTCCGAACGTCTGAGTTTTGAGGTACCTAAAAAGGGGAAGTGCTTTCTGGCAGAGCTCCTATGTGCGACGTCGGCGTCAGGCCAGACATATGTATCTCTCAAGCGGCAGAGTTTCCATTTGCTTCCAGCAGTGACGGGGAGTCAGCATCTTCTCGAAGAACTCCTTTTCAGAAAGGGAGCGGTAGAGAGGGCGTAAAGGGGACACTTCCTTATGGTTTTCAATCACGGCAGGTGCACGATTCAAGGCTTTCTAAGAACTGGTATTGCTGCTGCCTTCGGTTCCCTGCAGAAAAGATAAATGCTTTGAGCTCCGCAAGGGCAAAAGGAATTTGAAGCCTCTGGAAAGTCCCGATTGCCCTTGGCTACAGACGGCCATCAATGAGAGCACTTCAAATGGCTTGCAGAGCCATTAATATGTTCTCATTGCCGTTGGTCTCGTACGGTTCCTTTCTAGAAAGCCCTGTGTCATGAGCCGAAGCTAATTTGTACTGCCCGGCTAAGGTAGATCATGCAACGCCCGCTTGCCCGGAAATAGCGCGCCGTGCGCGCGGGACCGAGCGCCATTGTGCAGGGGTACTTCGGCGCGCGCGCGCCCGAACGGAAGAGCACAGGTGTGCGCGAGCGCGGCCTGCGGTGACGTGTGGCCGCAGCGACCGCAAGACGTGACCTTCTCGGAGACGCTGAATCAGACGTTGGAATCTGCTCCAATGCACGGCCCCTTATTGGCTTCAACATCTAGCTCTTCTACTGGCAGAGGGACCGCCATGGCTCTTCAAAGTTGTTACTCATGGCCAACTTCAAACGTTCCGCTCTTGACTTATCGAGCCCATTGGATCGCGTTTGAAAGATATGTCAGCAGTCTCGCATCCTTCACCTTGAACCGCTCGAAGACTAGAACCATCTCTACGACTGTGTTAAACCAAGTCCGGCTATTGGGTGCATGGTACAACACGCTTAGCAGAACGGCGCACGAGCGCGCCGGGTAAGAAATTGGCAGCGCGCCATTCAAGAGCAAAGGTGGTCGGACGCGCGCGAGCAGCTGTTGTGCGGAAAAGCACGGACGCGAAGACCGGCGACAACGACCTTCCCAGCGGGCGCTGAGACGAAGACCACGGCCTTTGAGCGGCTTCACAAAAGAGATGAAAAACATCCCTGACAAAGGAACCGCCAGGCCCCGGGTCAGCTTTACGATTTGTGATCATGGCCAGGCCACTCCATAATAAGCAGAGATATGCTGCTCGGTTTGAAAGTCCCTCGAAGCAGCCTCAAAAAGGTTGACGTCAGAGCTGGCTACTTTGCCGCTAACCGAAGCGTGCGTACTGCTGCATGCGAAGGCTCATAGCGAAAGCGGCAGGCGGTACGCTGACTGAGCCGGGCTCTTGAAGGAGTTGGTACAAATTATCTGAATACGATCCGACTCGGCTAACCCGCGAGCAAACGCATTAATGTATGCGTCGAAAGGTACTTCGACGCATAAAAGAGCGGTCACCTGCAACGCGGCGCAAGGGCGCCTGACGGACGGAGCATCTAGTCACAGCCGACAAGCTGATCAATTACACGACGGTGCGTAGCCTCCGGAAGGCCAGGCGCGTGCTTTGTCATAGCCCAACGTCAATCGTCCTTTTTTAAAGCAAGCAAATATACCAAGTGGGCAGACAAGCGAAAACGAATCAAATATTAGCACTAGTGCGTAGGGACCTGTTTCAACGAATTTGTAAAAATCCTCTGAAAAAAAAATTGCGTAGGACTCTCATGTGCTTCCTGCGTGAAGATCAGGTACTCGTTAGCTTTGATCATACTTGCAGAGTTGATTCGACCTCGTTTGGCAACCAGGTTATGAAGCGCAGGCACGGCCGGCCCTGCTGCTGATTTCAGCAAACGGAAGAGCTGTTCCGAACTTTAGCGGAGCTGACAGGTGTCAGAGCGTAACACTTCGTCGGGCGAAATGACGATCCCCTTTGACCAAGCACGACTGCAGATTAAAGGCCCCGTGGTCTGTCTTGAGGAAAAGATGTGTGAAGTACGGCGCAGCCGTGCGGCCGTCCGAATAATGACCTGACCCACTTTCGTAAAATTTAAAATACTCTAAGTACGTCAGCGTCCGTCCAAATAAGCCCCAGTAGGACCATGGCCTCGTCTGAAAGGAGGAGCATGGAAGTTCGTAAATTGCAAAAGTAGACGGTGGGCTATACTGGGCGCGGCTTCGAGAGGTTGACGCCGTCATTTATTTGGCTCTTTGCCACGTCGGGAACCAGACTTCGGACGTCCGCATCGCCGCTGGCCCTTCCGTTTTTAAATCCGGCGATATGGTTGTACCTGCGTGCCGCTACTGAGCTGCTGTGATAAAGTGGCAACGCACCAAGAAAATTTGCAACCCTGAGATGCACTAGAACCTTGCGATCTCCGGTAAATGCGGTATTCAAAAAGTTGACTGTTCAAAAGGCTGCAAGACCCGACCGATAGTCATCTGAGCCCGTAAGATTGTCTTCTAACAGTCATTTGACGCGTTCCGAGGAAGCGATCCGCGGCCGTTTAAGCGGAAGCGTGTGTTCGATCTGGCGCGCTTGCAGCATGCGGCAGAGTGGGCATCCAAACGAGACTGCGCTAGCGATTGCGCTCCTTGACCGCGAGGTCGAATCAGATCGCCGAATTCATTGCCAACTGATCATGACCAGAAACGAAGGCCACTGATCACCAAGCAGATCACGAGACGTTCTCTTGCGCACTGCTAGCTTAATGGCTGAAATGGAAAGCCAGCTAAATTAAGGATGGAACAATCCCCGCCGTTCGTGAGGACAACCGCGCGCTGCCGAAAAAGCCCATCCTCTGAGCCGACATACTCAAATGCAAAGGCAGCTGAGGTAACGTGGGAAATCAGACGAGATTCGAGGATCCTTTTGATCGGATTTCACCACGGTAAGGCAAAGTGGAAGGAATTCTATCATGTAATCTGAAGAACAGGATTTTCGGCCGTCATTCGCTTCCTAAACTCAACGCTTGAGCTCGCAACCCAACAGATTTTGCGGGTCATGGCCGGCACGTAACTATTCCACAGCTACTCGAACGCAGCGCTCGTATGGGCAACGCGCGCGCAAGCGCAAGGCCACACGGCCGCGCGAAAGCCACCGGGCAATTAGCGCACTCGGAGGGCCAACACTATGCGCACGCGTGCGAGTCGGCACGGTTGAACGGCCTTGCCAGTGTGCGCTGCTGGGCCTAGCATTGAGTGAGACCGCCAACACTTTGTTCGAGGCGAGCGTGCGCGCGCGCTACACGTGACACGAGCGGGCGCTACACTGTCAAGCGAGCGCGGTGGTGGCGCGCGCGCGGGCAGACCTGGGGGCACGAATTTAGAGCGCCCGGCCGGTCGCCCTCGTTCAGTTACAAGCATGCTCTCAACGCCTCTCTGGGGTCCACTTTTAGGTCAGAGGATATGTCCACACATAACACTCGAAGCAAGTTGCGCTGTTGGGGAAGAATAACAATAAAGAAACGATCGCAAGCAGCTTGGTGAGTACAGATTCTTTCAGACGTGCAGCCAGGAGCATTAGAATTGCGTACAGGCCACCATATTACTGAGTCAGGGAAGAGCCGAACTCTCTTTAAAATGAGAGGGGAGAAAGCAGCGAGGGCATCGATCTGCGGCAAGCTGACTTGACTTGTACTGGCCGCAATGGCCACGTACGCTCTACATCATCGCCCATCACCCAAACGACCAAACAAACAGTTTCCACTTGCGGCGGCAATCTACGAAGCATTTCGGAGTCTTCGAGCGTTGACGCATACCAGATTCAAGCCAGAAGATTGTGCATCTTGATCATATAGCTACCATTGGCAAAAAGATCACGAGCTGCGCTAGGACGAACGGACATACTGTGTGACTCTCAAACGGGCGGCCTGACCTAAACAGTGCCACCTAAGTGGCACGTGGAGCACTAAGACACGAAGCCAAGTTTTCAGATGGCATCAGTAGAATTGGTTCACCGTAAGTTTGTGGCCTACGTGCCAGGCCTCGTCTTCAGTGCCGTCTCTAGCATCAGCCTAAATACTACATTGAAACACTACGCTTTCTTCTGGCTATTGTACAATCGGTACAGATTTTACGGTCATGACTCCACCAGAATCTCCGCTGCGCAGGCGGCTCTCTTGTTGTCAATAACTTAGGACAGACAGATCGACGCTCTAACGGGCCAAACCCGCTCAAAGCCCCACACGCCTTCTTATAGTGAGACTGATCTTGCCTAGCAAACCCCTTCGACTACGAACCTCTAGTGATAGACGCTGTTCCGCATTCATCTAAAAGGTGAATAACAGCATGCCGATGAGAACGAACACCGTCAACCCTGTAAGCGGTCTGCTTACGATAGCGGGACTTATTGCGTTTGGAGGGCCCATGATTGGAGTGACCTTGGTACCAATCTCGAACTTGCAGTAGCTGAATGAGGGGTCTGTGGTAACAACGACCCCGTTGCAACTTTGAGGGTTCTGCGAAGAGAGTCGAAGAAAACATTAGAAGCCGAGAAACGTATTTGGACGCCTTGTGATGTGACAACTGTTTTGAGGTCTTCATTTGTTGTCGAAGATCTGGACCCGTCCTTCGAGGCCTTTGAACAAGACACCTCTTCGCATCTGAGCAAAGTCCGGGTCTCAGGATTAGTACGTAGGCCAGAAAGCAAAGTCTGTCATGTTGGCTTGCATCATCACCCAATTCTTAACAAGGCACTTTTCAACGAATCACAAAGGACGGGCTCTGTGAAAATGGGATTGTCATTGATTCCCGTAAAAGAGCTTTTCTAAACAAAAACCCCAAAAGGGTCAATAGGGGCATGCAAGAACGTCACCTGCTTGTTCAGCTGGTACTGCCGATTGAGTGCATAAGAAGCATGCAGCTGCGTCGTCGTCATATTGGAGGGGGGCGAGAAGCAAGCCCCCCCGGGGGCAATGTCCAAGCACTCCGTGCTGTTGAAGCCACACACCGAGGAGACCACACTCCTGCACGGGGATTGCGCACGGGAGATCAGACATGACAACCGGACTGGAAACCGTTGGGCGCCTCCTATTGCCCCGCACGTTTGGAAGCACGCAGTCGGACTGAGTGGGAATGCAAGTGGAGAGCAAGAGGAAGGCGTTTCTCCAGTCCGCGGCGTGCTTAGGCTGCATTCTTCCTACCAAAAGGTTGCAGTTTTGCCCGGACCCAAGCGCCAAAAAGCCCTCCCGCCCGGAAGCATCAACCGGAGAGCCAGCTTTGATACAGGCAACGATGAGAGGCCTTGGCTGAACGCCGTCCCATTCTGAGGCATGCTTCTGCACCGCCGTAGACTGTCATTGAGAAGAAGAGGCGAGAGAGTCTCACTGTAGCAGCGCCTCGTTCTGGATGTTCCCTGCCACGCACCACCGCTTCGGCAGACCGTCCGCTTGAAAGAAAGTGGTGTTGGTGAAATCGATGTCGTACATGGGATAGCCCTGCAGCACTTATGGAAGGTTCTGTCAGCAACTTCCGGTTGTTACGATCCGCTTTCTCCCAACAATAAGACGCATGAAAACATTGTAAAATATGTCTGGGGTCTCCCAGTACATAGTAGTCCACCTACTGGTAAAAGCAGCCGAAGGCAACGTGCACGGAGGGAACGTGCTGATCGCTTGCTTTGGCGGCCTTTGATAACCGGATCTCGTCAGAACGAAGATACAAGCCCTTGTTTGGAAAGAGCAACCCACCATCTGCTGACACTCTGAAGAAGGGAAAGCGAAGCCGTAGTGATCGAGGACGACTCAAACGTCCGTAAGCCTGTCCTTGTCCGACATCTCCAATGAACTAGCAGAAAGCTCATCGCAAGCGAAGTCCGTATCGTTCTGCTTTCGACGCCTCAGGACGCTTCAAGCGGGCCGGATTGTGTCTCCGAGCTCTTGATTAAGCACTGAAAACGGGACTAACGATCCCAACCAGAGGGTTCGGTGAGACTTCAACGCCCTTGGTCCCTCTTCTCAGCTTTTTTTTCCAGCTAGCACCCAATCCAAAGGAAACTGCAATAAGAGCACAAGCCTTACTGTTGCGTTGAAGACACCCCACGACGTTTCAAACGGCCCGGGCCCCGTCTCTTTCAGGTCCTCGTCCAGCAGCTCAAAGAGGAAACAGCCCAGCGTCCGGTTGGAGTGTCCGGGCGTGCCCTGTCCGCTGAGGCACCGCTTCGTGAAGTCCGAATTGAACTGCCGGGCCGTGGCAATGCTGGCGTAAGTGCTGCCAGCTGTCGGCCAGCCGCACTGCGTTGGGAACAAAGATGCCATGAAAATGAGAGCAAGCAAACCTCCAATGACGACAGGAATTAGGTTGGAGAAACAAGGAGCAAGCAAACCTCCGATGACAAGAGGAAGCAGGTTGGAAAACTTCAAACCACTGCCGTCCTGATGCTGGCATAAGTGCTGCCCGCAGCCGTACTGAAGCGCAGATACCTCACTGGCAAAAGTCGGCCAGATAAAGACGGCGGAAACATGAACATAGAGGATCTCGGACCACGTACTGCGCTGTTGCTATGCTGGCAACACGTGGCCACCCGCACTGCCTACGTTTCAACGGACATTAAGACGCTAGCGAGTGTTCTTCCAGGGTAAGCGTGCTCAACCGAAGTTGTTGAACGCTGCGTAAGAATAGCAACAGTGCTTTCTGACACGTGTTTTCGGGAGGTGGAATTTCCTTCCAGCGAGTAGATGGGTTCGCTCCATCCCAGCACTGCGTCTACTCTCCTTGAAAGGCGCAGTTTGACCAACCTGCACTTTGCTGGCAGAACTGAGTGTTCTGAAGCGAAGCAAGCGTGTCTCACCTCCCCAATCAGCAGATCGACGTCCGGGTAGCCAGTCTTGTTGAGTGCTGCGTAAGTAGCGTCCACAGTTTTGTCAAAGAGGTTGGTGTAGAACACGCCTGAAACTGGATCGTAAGTGCCCAGGTTGTCACGGAACTGGGCTTGTTGGGCAAGCGCAGGAGAGTCCTGCAAACAGTAGAGGGTTTGTTTCTCTGAAAGGGGAGCAATGAACGTACTTTGCAGGCCCCTGAAGTCTTGAAAGAGGGGCTTGTTGCACAAGCGCAGGAAGACATGTGGAAGCTCATGGAAAGAAATCGATGTCGTACGCCTGCAAGGGAATAGGGGACAGCTAGTCTGATAAGTTGCGTTGAGCGAAAAACGGCAGGGCCTATCACCAGATGGTGCAGTGACTGATGCCAGAGAACAAAAGCAGAATGCAGCGCGTCGCTCTTGGTTGCTTCGTCCACTCAACAAAAATAGGAAAGAAAGGTTTCTAGAAGCACTTGCTGGTATATATACTCCGACTAAAGAGAAGGCAAAAGGGGCTCACGTTCTGCTCAGCTACCAGGAAGGGATACACGTTGACCATGAAGCGGGACCCCGTGGCCTTCAGCAAGCTCAGGATCTGGCGGTACAGGGTCACTAGCTCGGGCTTGAAGAAACCGGAAGAGGGGGGGTCTGAGCCGCCCAAGTCTCCAGTATTGACCTGAAAAGCAGAGGCGTCGACGTGCTTTTTCTCCTCTGCATAACAAGTGTCAAAGAAGCTACAGGGGAGGGCAAGTGTGAGCCGTTGAGTCTCTCGTATTGTCCTTGAAATAGGCAGGAAGCTCTTTCAAACTGTGGAAAGGCCGTTCAAGAAAAGAGACGCAGGTCTTAGCCGCCCAGGTCACAGCACCCATCTGAATATGCACGGGGCTTGGCAATCGCTCAGCCTTTCCAAGCTTTGCATCACTTGTCCTCCCGTTCTAAACACAACATAAGCAACTTCTGGGAAAGAACCATCTGGAGCGCCTGTAGCATCCGAAAAAGGAGCAGGTTCAAGCTAGCGCTAGAGACTTTGAGGCCCACGTACCGGTGTGGTAATCTTGACCACGTTGTCAATCTTCTGAGCTTGGAGCGCGATGAGGACCTTCAGCATCGCTGGATACAGCCACGGCTTGTACGCATCCTGCAAAGCAGGCAAAAGTGGAGGGAGAGGAGGATTCGCAACCTATTCCGAGGAAACTTGGGCGTATGGAGATGCCTGGACGATGTGACTGTTTGCTTTTGAGAAGAGGGACATGAAGCAGAAGCATTGGGAGTTCAGAAGCAAATCCTCCGATTTTACGTTGTTTCTCCAAAGACAGACTCATCGCAATCAAGCAAGCAGAGGCTATTACTGCGCCCACAAGCGAGCTGTCAAGTAGGACCATAAGTGCAGCCTTATACCCAGCGGAATGAAATTGGTGCACTCACCATCTGCCACGTGCCAAACACTTCGTTGCCCACACATATCCATCGGATCTTTACTCCGCCAGGGAACAAGTAGCGCTTCACGTTGTTGGTCACCCAGTCGTCCGCTGTCTTCT